TTGAAAAAAATAAAACGTTAATTGAAAGCACCGCTATTTTTTGTAAAAAGTTTGAAGATTTCGTTGAGGAACAAATGGAAACAGACTTTCAGTTATGTGAAGACGCAGTCAGGGAAAAATTTGTACAATTACTACTAAGAGAGGCAGAGAAAGTAATTTGTTACCTGTATGAGACGCAATACGAATATGATTGTAATGTTTCTGAATTACGATACAGGCTGTTTGCTTGTTTGTTTAGTCAAAATAAAGGCAAATTTTTGGTCACGTTAGTTAGTTAAATATTAAATTTTCTTCCTCACAGATTTTCTGCTCCTGTCGTAAAAATTGTCAAACAAAACAATGCACGTGCAAAAAAGCAGGTTTGATGTGTACACGTATGTGTAAAAATTGCAACGGAGACAATTGTGAAAATGGTTCCACCACGATACCAGTAATTGATGAAGACTCTTTCGATGATGTGATTAATGACGTTGTCGACATGCAAGAGGAAACGACGGAAGAAGGTCATGTGGAGTACCATACTCAGTCCTCCCTCAATATGTATACTCCAGATAGTAGCATTTATGATTTTTGCGAATAAATAAATTTTGTTTACTATCAATTTAATATTTATTTTTGATCGTATGCTTCACAATAAGTTGTTCTCTATTTCTTTTCATTGGAAAATGTACAGACGTTACCATAGACAAGTTAATGCAATTCGGTCGAAAAAAAAAAAATTCAAGACTATGTCATTCAAGAATCATTTCTCAGAGACTTTTTTATTTAACCATTATCAGTTTTTTTTGGGGACTTTGAAATTGTGTCGCAATTCAAATATAAAAAGCCGATCCATCGTGTGTTTAACTGTTCGCCCCTCTCTTGCCCCTCCGCACAGCTATGCAATGCATGTAAGCTACATAACGTATTTTCTACAACGAAACAAAATTTTAAAACCAATAAAATAAGAAAAATAAGATTTTAATTTGGAAAAAATGTTACTGGAGACTATGTTTATTCGCTAGGAAATCGTAGATAATGTATAAAAAACATCATGTCTGGAGAACAAATTTTTTTTCCCCGTATTAATGTTATTGGGACTTAGAAAATTTTCGGGCCAAAAGCTGAAGTGGATTTTTCAGCCGGAAGGCGATCGAGTGCGTCGCAGCTACTAGAGCTACATATATATAGCACCGGCTCTCACCACTCTCCTCGTGCCTGCAATCGTCTGCTAGTGTGATCGCTCACTCTGTCTCACTCACTCTCATAGGTATACGTGCCAAAATACTTTCAGAATTTTTAATCTCGAAATTTTGCGATGGTCAAAAAAAAAATAAAAGACCAAATCGATAGAGAATTTTCCGCTCTACACGCTGGTATTTTTATTTACATCCTATCTCTTACCATTTACGCGAAATTTGCAAAATAATCTTTTAGCCGCTATTTTACATAGTTTGACTAAGAATCTACGTTTTTTACTATTTTTCCCGTAATCTACGAGTTCGATTGCATATAATATCCAAAATGACCCTTTGGATATCAACTTTTAGGTTGAACAGATTTTCGACTAGTCTAAACTTACCGACAACTTAATTATGTCTTACGATATCTTGCGTTATGTTTAAGTTGTCGGTAAGTTGTCGGAGAGCGCTACTGGAACACACGGTAAAGCAGTACATTTTTATTCAAAAACACAGATGTTTGTATTGGTATTACTGAAATCAACTCATGAATTTTAATTATAATTAATCTTACGTAAATGTACGTACAAATGAAGTTACTTTTGCTATGCACAACATGGGCACTATTGGCATTATGCCTCTACCACGTGACTTCAATATATATATGACTAATGTAGAGGGAAAATAACACAGGTCTTATGGGAGGAATCTTGTTTTTATTATTTTTTGCACTTAAAAAGATATTGAGCAAAAGGTTAATTCCATGTTACTGACATAATGAGACTTACGTAGTTATTTTTTTCTTTTGATGAATTCGTTCATGAAGGTTGAAACAGCGTTTTGAACGTATACGAAGTGCCGTTAACCCTACTTTGAGCTGTTTGTTTATCTCTGAGCATTAGCAGCAGTAGGGTTAAACGGCACTCCGTATACCTTCATAAACGAATTCACCAAAGGAAAAAAAATAACTACGTAACTCTCATTATGTCAGTAACATGGAATTAACAACATTTTTAAGCTCAATATCTTTTTAAGTGCGAAAAAAAATAAGAAGAAGATTCCTCCCATAAGACCTGTGTTATTTTCCCTCTACATTAGTCATATATATACTGAGGTCACGTGGTAGAGGCATAATGTTAATAGGTGCAGCTGTTTTCTTACAAAACGACATTCAATGATTCAATGTCAGAAATTGATCCAGGTAATTTACAGGTATTTTACTTGTAAGAAACTAAGTAAGTTATGGAAGGTAACTTACCTACCCACCACTGGTGGGGAGCGAATTTCATGTTTCAGGAACAAAAACCGGACCTGACCTGCCGCAAACTTCAAGACTCAATTAATTGACCTGTTCCATCCTGTTCGAGCTCGCCTCCAGAACACTAACGGATTAGCTTTTGACGAGCCAGAACCAGTCCAAACTCGTACTGGATTCTCGAAAGGAGATGCCAAGGTCAAAATCTACGTGACTTCCTGCACGTCTTTCGGCCTAGCTAGACTAGAAGAAGCTGGAAAGGTCCTTCGCAGTCAGTCTACTTCCAACAGTTGCCTACGGCGAGGTGCTCCACGGGAATCAAAGTGTTCAAGGTGCCCCCCTATAAAACCCTAAGGCGAGTACCTCAGAGTTATTGTGAATTATTAGTGTCAGTCAAGGGAATAATGATGGTCCTGTGGAGAGTTTCACCAGGTACCTAGATATCATCTTCAAGGAAAAAATACCTAGACATAATCTCCGAGAATAAGCTACCCGGGACTTAAAGCTACCGCAAGGAAGTAGTGAGGGAGACCTCGTGCATCAGCACCTAACCAGGTATCGGACCGATCGCCCAAGGACCAAGGCCAGGGGCCAGCCAAAGGTTGGACTGCGCCATCTACACCTTCTTGCTCCGTGCCCGAGGCTCAGTCCATAACAATGTATATGAATATATTTATACACTGTGACCGTGGCCCTCCGTCCTTTGTACATGTACAAACACACATACTAAAGCCAATACTGCTTTTCTGTCAAATCCCTTTTAAGATTGGACACCGTCAATTGCACTTACATATGCCACATATTTCTGAGGAGATCAGTTGATGTAATTTATCCTGATTAAGGTAAGCATGGATGACATCAAGCATCATCAGTCAACGAAAGTATTGGAAAAATCGTGGAAACTCGTGAACCGCGAGTTAAAAGAGAAGCGGAAGAAATGGCGAGAAAAGCAGTTGATGAAGAAAGCTCGGCTTGCTGAGAATCTGAAAGAACAGATCTCGTTCGATCAACGAAGTATTGACAAAGAAAAGTTGAGGTATGAGGACTCGTTTAAGGTTAGAAAAGTGTCTACCGTCAGTATAGCCGTACCAGGCTCCATCTTAGACAACGCGCAGACGATCGACCTCAGGTACAAACTTGCCTCGCAGATAGCACGAGCGGCATGCATTTACAAGGTAGACGAGATCGTGGTTTACGACGACCAAGGAGACATCGTAGAGGCTGAGATGAATAAGCTCAAGAGGGATGAAGTGCTGGGAGAAGCGAGACCTGGCTGCCTGCAGCTTGCTAGGCTGCTGCAGTACTGCGAGTGTCCACAGTATCTGAGGAAGAACTTTTTCCCCCAGCACAGGGACCTCGAGAGAGCAGGTATACTAGACCCTCTGCATGCGCCACATCATCTCAGGATGGAAGACGGCAGCTTATTCAGGGAAGGAATTGTCACTAATAAACCTGTGAAAGTTGGCAAGGGCTCGCTGGTTAGAAAATCATTGCTTTGGGTTTTTTCTACTTCATTTTCATAGTGATTGTCATTTTTAATTTCACTTGCAGGTCAACGTTGGGCTCTCAAGAGACATTAGGGTGGATAAAGTACTAGAAAGTGGACTGAGAGTTACTGTAAAAATTCCAAAAAACCAGGAAAATCGTGATAATCTAAGCGGTACCATCGTGTCTCCAACTTTGCCAAAAACAGAAACTGGTATTTACTGGGGATACACAGTCAGAATGACGCCTAACATTTCTGAAGTTTTTGCCAATTGTCCATATCCAGAAGGATATGATTTATCGATTGGAACATCTGACAAAGGAAGTTCTGTGGATGACGTGATGTCGAAAAGTTTAAAGTACAATCATGCTTTGATTGTATTTGGTGGACTGTCGGGTATTGAAGCAGCTGTAGAAAATGACTCTAATTTAAACATCAGTGATGCTTCCCTGGTATTCCACAAGTATTTAAATACGTGTCCCAATCAAGGGTCAAGAACGATTAGAACAGAGGAAGCTGTTTTAATTACACTTGCTGAGCTGAGATCAAAGTTGGATCCAGAGTTTTCCTCGTTTGATCATCCACAGTTTAATCCTAGAAAAAAATCTGTGTTTGAATCAGTGAAAAAATAGTACATTACGATACTAGTGCGCGAGGAAGGCGATTGACGCACACGTGTGTGTCAATCACCTAACCTCTTGCACGTGTGATGTATACAACTTTTCGTTACATCGTGCGCGAAGAACGAGTATATGAGCCATCTAATGTGGCTCTGCAAAGATCTCGACGTAATATACACTCACTCGCACGAGTGCACAGCACAAGTTGTGAGTCGCGTGTGTAAATCGAGGTTTTTAGAGCCACAACAGATGGCTCATGATTAAGGTCCCCGCGCACGGCGTGTTGAAAACGTAAATTTAAGAAAAAAAGTCAGAAAGTTCAAAGTAATTTTGCTAAGCACTGTTGTTAAAATATCGTTTTAATAAAATTTATACAAAGTAAGTTTATCATATGTATCACTTGAGATACCAAAATCCCAAAGCCTCATTCACAGAATCTTTCATTTCTTTAATGACATTAGCTGGATTACTAGAATTAATAACGGCTGTACCTGACACAATCATGTTTGCTCCAGCCTAGACATTAATTTGTTTACATTAATATTAAATGTGACTAAGCTTATTAAATTTTTATGGCCACACTTTATCTTACTTTAGCACAACAATGAATAGTGCTTGGTCCAACTCCACCATCTACCTCAATATCCATAGCTGGGTAGTTCTCTCTTAACCAAGATACTTTATTCATCATCGATTCCATAAACTTTTGACCTCCAAAACCTGGTTCCACTGTCATCACTAATACCATGTCTACCTTATCAATGTATTCTGTAACGACCTCAACAGGTGTGCCCGGTTTTAAAGCTATTCCAACCTTCAAGCATTACATTATGGAACCATCGAAAACGAAAAATTGTTTTTGACATATTTATGATTTAAAATGAAAATTGATTCACCTTCATGCCAGCCTCTTTAACTTTGCGACATACTGTTGGAACGTCATCAACAGGTTCAATGTGAAAAGTATATTGATTTACTCCAGCATCAGCCATTGGTGTAATCCACTTGAAAATTTAAATTCATTATTATCTTGTAAACATAAATAATTTTTACTTATCTCCATGAGTAATGTGTTGCTGATGTTACATTTTATTATCTACTTTTTGTCAGATAAGCTACGGTTTAAATTTATTTAAGTCTCTATTTCTTTAAATTAACATTTTGAATAACACGTTGATGATGTCACATAGACCACCTCGAGAGCGAAGGATCTATATGTGGTAGGCAATTTTTGCTGCGAGAAGGTCGCCCAAACCCTTCACGAGGAGCATTGCCTGGTGAAAAAGCACATGTGAAAATTCACAGAAGTACTTGCTCGGGAATACAACTGTATCAATGCCTACCACATACATACATCCTTCGCTCTCGAGGTGGTCTAGGTGACATCATCACCAAACCAACAAAATATAAAGTGTATCCAATAATGTGTAACTATTAATGTAATATGTAACCAATTACTTGTAATATGTAACTATTATAATGTAAAATGTGCCTTACTGTACCAAGGCTGTATGTACTCGTTTACAATAAAGCCTAAGAAATAAATATACGTAAGTAGGTATTTATTTATAAAAAAAAAAAAAAAAAAAAAAAAAAATTTTGAATAACAATTTAAGCCAAGTTATTTATACAGCGATTTTTAGTGCACCTGTTGAGGTTTTGATACCATCATATGAGTCTCAAAGAAAGCGTCCTTTATTTTAGCCCTGAGACATTTGACAAGCGGATGTCCAAATGACAAGTTGGGCACAAAATGCCCGTCCATGACATCAAGATGGAGATAATCAGCTCCACAGTCCAACAACCGCTGAGACTCATCACTTAGCTGGGATAGGTCAGCATTTAGTATAGAAGGTCCGATTTTCGCTTTTACTTTCCCTGACATGCTTTGAAGTCTGGGTATTAAACAATATATTATTTATATTACCAATAGTATATAAATTTTTTTTTTTTTCTTCTCCCTTTCAACTCAAGCTGATTATTTTTAACGTCTTGGCAACATCGGCATCAGGAGTCCATTTCAGCCAAGCTGATCTTGCCTTCTAGACTAAGAGCTAAGGCCCGAGCCCAAGAGTGATCAAAAGGCAGTAGATATTCAGACCCCTCCGTTTCGTGTCCGTGTCGAAAAATGTTCGAGCATGGTGTAAGAATAGACAGGTGGGCCGAAGGCCCGCCTCTATCGAGTCCAATTTGTGTCGCAGTACATCTAAAATCCGCTAGGTGGTTTCGAGTAGTAGAGGCAGTTTTTATAATGGTCAGTATGACTACATAGAAAAAAAAAAGAAAAAAGAAAAAAAAATTTTTATACTATCAATGGCCTGCACGACACGGATCCCTCTGGTGGCTAGTATCGGTACTGCGACAAAATTTGAACTTTTTTTACAATGCGTTGAGGTAGGCCTTCGGCCCACCTGCCTATTCTTACACCATGTGTTCGAGATTACGAAGAAAAAGACCACTTCCGTCATCTTCCGTACAGATAATTTATCGAGCATGTAAAGGCCTGTTTCCGTTTCTGCCCGTGACAAAACGAAACAATGAGACAAGTTCCATTTAAGTCCGTACCGTACACACTCGTCAAACCAAATTAATCCCGTAAATAACCGGACACCCGTGGTTCTCCGTTGAGATATCTAGAAACTAATAAGTCCCGTGATTTACCGGGAGTCCGTAACTGTCCGTTACAGTACAAGGGATCACTGAATCCCGTAAATTACCGGAAGCCCGTGGCTGTCTGTTGAGATATCTAGAAACTAATAAGTCCCGTGATTTACCGGGAGTCCGTAACTGTCCGTTACAGTACAAGGGATCACTGAATCCCGTAAATTACCGGAAGCCCGTGGCTGTCTGTTGAGATATCTAGAAACTAATATTCCCGTAAAATACCGGAAATCCGTGGCTATAGATCAATAAATTTTTGTCAATTGTTATAATCTCGTGACTGTTTGTTATGGTTCGAAAAAATATCAAATATTTATAGATTTTTGTTTATTTTTAGAAATTTAGGGAAGCGCATGCTACAGGGTTGTTAATAATAGTTGCTTTTTAGAATTAGAAGTTTTGAAAGTTTTAAAACTTTTGAAAGTTCTGTTTTGTTTGCTACAATCTACATAGCTATAGCTATAAGGCATGGGGTCTATAGAGTATAGAGGTAAGGCGTGTTGTGCTCTCCTACTGTAACTAGTGTACGAACCCTTATTCTTTTTTGTCAATCAGTTGATGCCAGAGATCTCAGAAGTGATAGAGTAACTTAGCGGGAAATTCAAATGGACTATATGGGGCATGACGCAGAAACCCAGAAAACACTTTTATGCATAATAAATTAATAAAATAAACCCAAGCTATTCAACCCAATGACCCGGGGTGACTACTAGCAAATATCTCAAATAANTTGTTACTAAATTTAGCAATTAATTATTAAATTTATTTGCCAGTAAGCGCCCCACGTCATTTGGTAAAAGGCGCTTTTGTTATCAAATTTAGCAATTAATTATTTAATACATTTGCCAGTAAGCGCCCCGGGTCATTGGGTGAAAGGCGCTTTTGTTATTAAATTTAGCAATTAATTATTAAATTAATTTGCCAGTAAGGGCCCCGGGTCATTGGGTAAAAGGCACTTTTGTTATTAAATTTAACAATTAATTATTTCAGATATTTGCTAGTAGTCACCCCGGGTCATTGGGTTGAATAGCTTGGGCTTATTTTATTAATTAATTATGCATAAAAGTGTTTTCTGGGTTTCTGCGTCATGCCCCATATAGTCCATTTGAATTTCCCGCCAAGTTATTCTATCACTTCTGAGATCCCTGGCATCAACTAATTAACAAAAAAGAATAAGGGTTCGTACACTAGTTACAGTAGGAGAGCACAACACGCATTACCTCTATACTCTAAAGACTCTATGCCTTTTAGCTATAGCTATGTAGATTGTAGCAAACTAAACAGAACTTCTAAAAGTTTTAAAACTTTCAAAACTTCTAATTCTAAAAAGCAACTTTTATTAACAACCCAGGCATGCAATAAGTTTTTCTTGAAGCCATGTGCTTGGCAGTGAGACTGTTCACATAGGCTCGACAGTTTCATACAGTCCCATTGAAAACTAATGATAGCTTTATTATAAGACATTATTTGATAAGTATCGTTACACTAAATGACAAAAAAAAAGGACTGCTCGTTCCTCTGTACGGCGCTAGAGCACAAGTAGAAAGAGACACAACATCGAACGTGTACATCTGTCTCTTTGTTGCCAACGGTGAGGAGGTTGCGTTGCATCAGCTGGCTTAACAGTTTACTGACCCCCCATTTTCTATTTCTTATTCGCTCTGTGCATGACACGCTGCTCCGCCAGCACAGTGAACTGTGCGAACGACTTGCATCCAGCAAAAAAAAAAAAAATACCAAAAATTGCGGAATCTTTGCAGGTTTTGCAATTGCCATGCAAAAAATTGTCAGAGTATTATTTTTTTGTAAAAAAAATAAAATGTGGTACGTCCTGCGAGAATCTAATAAAACTATTATTTCACCTCAACGGTAGAGTTTCTACTATTGAAATTATCACCAGTCGTTTGCAATTTATTTTCCAGTGCGTGTGAGGATCGCAAAATAGTCGAATTAGTTATATTTATTGAATAAATAGTTATATTTATATACGAAAGTAAGTCGAGTCATCTTACTCCCACCCCAGGCCAGGGCGCATGCGCACTACACTCGAAATACCAGCGATAGGATATAGTTCCGGCCAGATTTGGGAATTCTCTAGGACCCAACCTCTCTGACGCGGGAAATCACTAGATCAAAAAAAAAAATAGTACCGAAGGTGACGCGCGAGATTCAAATAAGGTCCAATAATACAAGCATCCATCAACTGATGACCCAGTGTGCTTACTGGCCACTCTGTTAAGTAAATAATTATTAACAACACAAGCGCCTATCACCTAATGACCCGGGGCGCGTACTGGCCACTGTTAAATAAATAATTATTAATAACACAAGCGCCTATCACCTGATAACCCGGGGCGCTTACTGGCCACTCTGTTAAATAAATAATTATTAACAACACAAGCGCCTATCACCTGATGACCCGGGGTACTTACTGGCTACTATTGAATAATAAATTATCAAGTAATTACAAGAGCGCCAATTAAAAAGATCTTTGTCGTACTAGATAGGCAATCAAAATTGTGATATGGTTAATATGTTATCGATCAACTTTTTATTATTTAATAGTGTTGCAAACAAGTGTCCTGGATCATCAGGAAAAAGGTGCTTAACATATTTCTGAATAATTATTTATTTACTAGATTTGGAATTAGCGCCTCAGGTTATACGGTGATAGGCGCTTGTGTTATTAATAATTATTTATTTAACAGTGGCCAGTAAGCACACTGGTTCATCAGGTGATGGATGCTTGTGTTATTGGACCTTATTTGAGTCTCGCGCGTCACCTTCGGTACTATTTTTTTTTTGATCTAGTGATTTCCCACGTCAGAGAGGTTGGGTCCTAGAGAATTCCCAAATCTGGCCGGAACTATATCCCATCGCTGGTATTTCGAATTTCGAGTGTAGTGCGCATGCGCCCTGGCCTGGGGTGGGAGTAAGATGACTCGACTTACTCTCGTATATAAATATAATTATTTATTCAATAAATATAACTAATTCGACTATTTTGCGATCCTCACACGCACTGGAAATTAAATTGCAAACGACTGGTGATAATTTTAATAGTAGAAACTCTACCGTTGAGGTGAAATAATAGTTTTATTAGATTCTCGCAGGACGTACCACATTTTATTTTTTTTACATAAAAATAATACACTGACAATTTTTTGCATGGCAATTGCAAAACCTGCAAACGATTCCGCAATTTTTGGTATTTTTTTTTTTTGCTGGATGCAAGTCGTTCGCACAGTTCACTGTGCTGGTTGGAAAGCCGAACAAATCTCATGAAAGTAGCAGGGGGGGGGAGTGGAAGTATTCTTTTATCTTTCCGCGTGAGTCGCTGTGACGTTACGCTAGCCATTTCTGCCATTCCGCCCTATGTACCCGCGCCCTTACGTAATCATATTTTTATAATACTCCGCATTGGTCGGATTTTTTTCTACGCCAAGCGTTGTAACATTTACGATGGTTTTTTTTAGATTGTGATTCAATTATGCGTGCACGCGTGTGTGTTTTATTATTGTACGACGGACGACGTCGAATGTTTCCGTCAACCGAGTATAATTACAAAAAAAAATCACACAGGGAACTCTAAAGTGCATGTCAATTGTTTTTGTGGTTAGCATGAATTTTGTTAACACGATCGTGGGAGGTGTTATCGCTGGCAGCGAGGCCGGACTCCAGCTTAACAATGTTGAAGTCATCTACTCTAAGATCCAGCGGGTCTACGTTAAACAGCAGCAAAAAGAGGAGCGCCAGCGCGAGTTACGTGTTAATGTTGAGATACACGCAGGACTCAGTCCCGTTTGTCGCAAGGTAAATCACAATATTCCAAGTATACGGGACCTTTGGAAGGAACGTATATATCGAATTTTTAGTTGAATGTTAAGACAACGTATTTAAACGATTATTGTAATTCTCTAATTTACGTGTAAATTTTTGGTTTTTCGTTAGTATTATTGATTGTATTCAATGTTTCTGGACCATACACAAGTAAACCTAGTTTGAGCACTGCTTCATTTGTCACAGCATTGAGCAGTAACATGAAATGCAGTGTCTATAAATGATTCTCTCCCCAATTTATTCGTTCAAGATGAATGTAATTGATTTTATGACTTAGAATAAATAAAATAAAACATATGTAAATGCCTTTGTACTTACCTGCATTCAAATTGGTATTTTTTCGATTAAATCCAACTGCTTATCTGTTTTCAGTTCTCGCTTAACTTCATATACTTCTCATGTATCTCATGCTGTTTGTGTTTTGGGAAATTTCATTATGTTACTGAACTATCATTTCAGATTATTGAATTATTTAAGGAAGATTAATGAATACATGCATTGACAAGTAATGTTGGTTTTTCTAGTTAACTAATAAAGATCCAATTTGATTTGCTTCAACAATGAAGTAAATAACACTAGAGAATTAAAATAAAAAAAATATTGACCTTATATAATTCTATGTTGAAAGACTAAAGAATAATAGATTTAGAAACTTATTTCCTAGAAAACTTTTGATTGCATGTATTAAATTTCGCATATTAATTTTGCAGGCTCTTTGTGTCCTTTTGGCAGATGACAATGATCCATGTTTTTTGTATTCATTGTTCATAACTGATGATGACTTCAAAGTGTTAAAAGCACAGCAAGGACTCTTAGTAGATTTTGACAATTTTGCAACACAGTTGATATGTCTTCTGGAACAATGTATTTCACAATCATCAGCTGTATCAAAAACATCTAAATTTTTACTTCTTTTGTCAGAAGAAGGTAGTGATTGGTCATTCAAGCTTGTAGAGACTAATAATTTTAAACACCTTTGCCATCTAAGCTTAAATATTGCACCTGCCAACGATTCTGATCTTAAAACTCACATGGCTATTAAAATAAAAAGTTTAAAAGAATCAGTTGTACAAAAAGATAGAGACACCGCTAGCTTAGAAGTGAGATTGAGTGAACTGTCAAACAAACTGGAACTAAAATGTAAAGAGTTTGAACAATATGAGCAAAAATGTATCACCGAAAAAACTCAGCTCCAATTAAGCTTATCTCAGCAGACAATTCAGGAAAAGAATAGACTGACGCAAGCAAAGCTAGAGTGGCAAAATGAATTGGAGAAAGAAAAAATGGAGCTGGAGTACAAGCATAGCGAATTGGTTAAGCAATTACATTTTGATCTTGCTGAGTTAAGAACGCAAAATGCAAGCTATAAGGAAAAACAGTTGCTCTTAGAAGCAACTAATGCAGAACAGAGCAAACGTATCCAGGAGCTGGATAAAGATTTGAACTTTATACAGCGTAACTTTTCTGTGACGAAAAGACAAAATGCTAAGCTTGATACTGATTATCATGAAAAAGACAAATCCGTAAACGTATTGTCTACAAGGGTTGCTGTGCTAGAGCAAGAGCTGAAGGACAAAATAGTATTGATCAATAAGCACGCTGATATGATTAAAACGACAAAGGAGAGCAAGCAGCGACTGGAGGAGCTGTTATCTGAGAAGGACACACAGCTACAGCGAAAACAGGCATCGCTCAAAAATATTAGTGATGAACTAATCAAAGCCAACGAAATAATTGGCAAATTACAAATCGAACTTGCTTCCGTTAAGTCTAAGCTCAAATTGAGGACGAGCATAGCTTTGGAACAGGAGCGTCTACTTAACAGCAAACAAATCGAAATAGGCCAGCTGGAGAGCAAAGTTGAGATACTTGCCAAGGAAAGCCGTGAAGCCATAGCCGAGGTAGAAAAATGGAAAAACCAAGCTGAATCGCTGCAGGCTCAACTGGAAGAAAAAGAGAAGGCCATCAAGAATAACGACAACGTGATTAACTGGCTAAACCGTCGACTAGCAGATGTGCACACGCCTTTGCAGAGTGCCACAACAGTCTTAACGACTGCCCCGATTGCGCTGCCTTCGTCGATTCAGCTTACGTTGCCGAGAACGAACAAATTTATGACTAATCGATTCGAGCCACGAGCTTCTGCTGGCTGCAACACAGCTACGGGCGCTCCGCAGCCTCTGGCCACCCTATCGGGACTAACGCTGCGCAATTCCATTGCTCTCCCGAACTCAAATTTACATCTGCCCTCTGCCAGGGGCACATCTAGATCTACAGGTGTTGGTGTGACAGACAACGTAACATCCATCATCACGAATCTTAAGTCTGGTAATCAGCTCACGAGTACGCCAATCGAGCGCGCAGGCTCGCAGAACAAACTCACAAGCGTCAACACAATGATGCTATCAGATGGGAACGAAGACATCAACGGACCTGTGTCTACAGTTGCGATGAACAGTGGCACCCTGAAGCCCAAAAATTCGTTAAATACGCACCTAGGTGGTTTAAAACGAACAATGTTTAATAAGCCTCTACTACCGTCTTCTTACTTTCCCAAAACCTTACAAAATTAATAACGGAGAAGATGTTTTCTTTACTTTTAAATTAATAGAACTTTTTCATTTTTTTATGTAGTATATAAAGAGTGTTAGTTTTTTACTTATAGATAAGATAACTTATATCTGTACATACTTGTTACTTGTGACTTCTGACATAGTAATTCATGGAAATTAGATTCAAGCAGAGTGATCAAATATCAGATTGAATGCATAAAATCAATTTTTATGAGCATTACTGCCCCGATAAATGACAGTTAATGAATTCCAATCAAAATAAATAATTCTATCGGCTTATTCACTACACAGCTCCTGAATTTGAAAATGATAATGTTGTACAAAACATTTTTCGACACGCCGTGCGCGGAGAACGAGACTATGAGCCATCTGTTGTAGCTCTAAAGACCTCGATTTACACACGCGACTCACAAATTGTGCTGCGCACTCGTGCGAGTGCGTAACTGCCTGTGTACGTCGAGATCTTTGGAGCCACATTAGATGGCTCATAATCTCGTTCCCCGCGTACGATGTGTTGAAAAGTTGCATACACCACACGTGCAAGAGGTTAGGTGATTGACACACGCGCGTCTTCGCCAGAGCTACATAGCAAATTATTTTCGATGTACCAATCGAACTGAATTGGCTCTATTGATAGTAAGCAGCACAGTTCAGTACGATTGGGACAAAATTCAAAAGTGGATCCAGAATCTCGGAAAAATCAGAAAACTTTAACCTAAGCTCTCAAACTCAATTACCCTAAAGTATTTAACCCCTTAGCCCTCAAAGCCTTTAACCACATCACCCAATTTTTTATGAACTATTTAACCCCATTACGTGTTCCCCTAAACAGTCAAATTAATTATGCGAGCGCGAATCACTAGATAACCCGGGGCACCTACTGGCCACTTCATTATATAATAAAATACGACTAAACAACATAAGTGCCAATCACCAAATAACTCGGGGCACCTACTGGCCACTTTATTAAACTAGAAAATGCTTAGCGCGCGTACCGCGCGCGTGGACTTTAATGATTATGACAAATAACATGAGTAATATTTTAAATATCATACAAATGTTAATTATATACACCCGCCAGAGAAATTTTCGGGCAGGTCTATCGACGGTTTCGTAGATCAAGTGACCCTGAAATGAGTGAGGCTGTATGCGTAGTAAGCTAAGGTTACATGATAGTTTAGTCTTACCCTTTTCAGCCTGCGCCTGCGGAATCGCTGATGAACCTGCCCGAAAATATCTTACCGCCGGGTTTACAAATGTATAAGGTGTACATAAGGCGTAATAGCGTGTTTGGAACAATGGGTACATTTTTTTGTGGTCAGTTGCTTGGTCCGATTCCTTTCGTATGTGTATTTATAAATACGGTGAATATAGATATACTTTCTTGAGGAATTGGACTGACCGACCATAAAAAAATACGTCCCAACAAAACTGATAAAATTAAAATCCAGATACAATCCAGATGTGACAAGTTTTTCAGCTTCTACGCGTATCTCGATAAATTAATGCTCAAGTATAGATATCCATTGACATCTGGAATACAAAATGGTTTTGCAGTCCTGATTCTCGAGTAGAGTATATTTTATGTTGCATGGCCTGTTGATCACCAAAAAATAGAATGTTTTTTTAAGGGCTGGTTCAGTGATATATCGGCATATGAAAATATATCTAACGTAGCTATAAAAAAGGAAAAATTCCAAGCTTGTCAAACGGAAGCTTAATTTGGACTATTTGAGCGTTTTTACAAGCTATTATTGGATACGTAATATAAAAAAATTCAGGAAAAAATAATACTATGATAATAAATATCTTGAAGGGATGTATATATTAAAATAAAGGACGGATGCAAATGCATATAATAATATAAAGAAACCTTTCATTGGCACATCATGTTTTTCAAAACTTTATTCAACCACTTGAGGTTAATTGGAATGATTTCAAATCTCCAATAGCATAATACGTTTAAAGAATGTTGAAAAAACGTTCTTATATAAAACTTTGAAATGCTGCGAAAATGAGGGTGCCATAAAGTTGTAAAAGTTCTAACTTCATTTGAACAAATAAAATTATTGCTGAAAACTCTGATAATTTAGTTCAACCCCTTACTTCAAGTATTGCCATCCAAATGGTAATATCTCATTTGGCTACAAATTACACTCACAATAACTTAGAAGTTTTCCAGATTGAATTTTTACTTAGAAAAATCTGTCATTTTCAACGTTTTTACAACGTTTTTATAACGTTATGGCAACCTCATTGTACAACGTTATAAAGGTTTAAGAACGACGTTTTATTAAAGTTTTTAAAACGTTGTATGCATTTAAGTTTGTGACCAAAAAAACGACAATCTGATTTAGTATACGTATACATGAACTGTACGTTTGAAAATTAAAATATACAATTGTACAAAAACAGAAAACGATACCTACATACATAACTCACCATAAACATAATTTTTGATACTCTTCACATCAGGACAATTTGAATAAATCTTCAATGAGTCCCATGAGCGTACACGTGATAATGCAACATATAGTTGCCCATGATTAAAAACTTCTTTTCTTAAGTCAATAGCAATTTTGTGAAAAGTCTGTCCTTGCGCTTTATTTATAGTCATTGCAAAAGCTAATTTAATTGGGAACTGTCATCTTTTGAATAGAAAAGGATAGTCAGTTTCTGAGGAATATAATGTGATTCGATTAAGGAATACTATTTCTCCTGTTTTGTCACCTGTTAGAATCTCACATTTTAATACATTACTACGGAGTTCTAAAAGTAATAACCTGGTACCATTACGTAATCCTTCACTAATGTTGAGATTTCGAATAAGCATAACTATACAATTTTCTCTCAACTTCAATGTACGAGGAGGGAGCGATGGTGGAGATAACGTACTCAGATACTCGGGCAGTAATACATCATCAAAACCAGAATTATCACAATTGTCTGTACTATCGACGCTCGTACATATTGTTTCTGTTGCTTCGTCAAGTAAAGTGACAATCTTCTTGTTGATCTCATTTACATCAGCATTCCTAGGGGACAATACTGCAGAACTTATTGCTTTTCTGTAATGTTTTGAACGGAAAATTTCACCATACATATCTTCTACAATATCCTCATCATGTGCTGCGAAACAAGTATCAGGAAAATGAGCTAAACTCACATTATCATAAGCATCGTTTAGCTTTCCATCTCCAACGTTTAATAAAAATGACGAAAAGTCGATTTCTTCAGAACGTGCTCGCATATTATGCTTCAAAGTATATTTAATAAACTGTGACCATTGATTGCTACGATTAATACACAAATCAATAACCTCACTGTGGGTTCCACCCACTCTAACCGGAAGTAATTGTCTGAAATCTCCCCCTAAAACAAAAATTTTACCACTCAATATTTTGTCAACATTCATGATATCCCGTAAAATCCGGTTGATCAATTCGATAGAATACCTCGGAGCCATTGGTGCCTCATCCCAAATGAAAATATCAATTTCTTTTAAATAAGCAGCTTCTCGTGATTCTAATTTCATATTTGATGAAGAATCTGAAAACATAGGTACTGGTAACTGGAAAATTTTATGAAGTGTTTTCCCATCTGGTAGTAATGTAGCTGCTATACCAGTAAATGCCATAGTACATACTTTTTATTATTTCCTTTTAATAAGAACCAAAGAGTTTCATATAAAAATGTTTTTCCAGATCCTCCCGGTCCATCAATAAAAAAAAACAGTTATCAGAAACATTCACTTCTGAATCAATGTTAGCAACTATACTCAAACCTTTTCACAAATTTATCTCTAGGTGTGTGCGAAATCCAGGTTGACGCTCGCGCGCCGCCCGAGTGCCCAACCTTGCGGCGTTACAACGACCTACGTAACGTAACTGCTGGCAGCATTCGCGGAATACGATTTTATCATTCTGCAGGTAAAGTGGTAAAGAGAGCACGGTGTAAGATATACGTTAAGTTATGTGTAATAACTATAGTAATATCACTACTATGTAGTGCCATATAGTCGATTTTATTAAATCATGTAAGTAGAATATCTATACTTTTGGAGATCGATTATCGAGTTAAAGATAAATTGTAAACTTGCCGCAAATAACACAGACAACGTCGACTTTTTATCTTTCATCTATGAGATTAGTTGCGGCTGGTTTATAATAGACTAAATGGCTGTAACTGTAAGCGCTAACGCTCTGATTCAGAAGTTTAGAACCACTTTTTAGTTCAAAAATCCGCAACGCTAGATGGTGCTGATGCAAATAATTATTACAATTTACAGTAGAGTCATGTAATTAGTTGTAAACCAGCCGCAACTAATCTTCCAGATGGAAGATAAAAAGTTGGCATTGTGCTATTTGCGGCAAGTTTACAATTTATCTTTTATCCGAAAATCAATTTCCAAAAGTATAGATATGTCACCTTTTTATTTTATGTCTATATAAGATTAGTTGAGACCAGTCGATGAGGGTGTTGTGTAGGGCGCGAATGTATTATAGTCGACATAGTAGGGACCGCACTTACCTTTTGTAAAATACCGGCAATCCCAGGTTCCGTTTACCGACTTCTGTCGTATCGGCGACCGTAGGTAAACAGAACCTGTTTTACGGGTATTTTATAATAGGTAAATGCGTTACCTTATACTATATGCATACAATGGTGAAAGGTCTAAAGTATTGTAATTTTGTAAATATGATCGGTTTTATAAGCCATATGAGATAAGTAGAATATTTATTATTTTGGAGGTTTATTTTCGAATAATAGATAGATTATAAACTTGCCGCAAATAACACAGAAAATGTGTCATTTTTATTTTCTATCTTTGAAATTAGTTGCGGCTAGTTTATAATTGATTACATGGCTCTACTGTAAATTTTAATAATTGTTTAGATTAGCGCTATCTAGGGTTGCGGATTTCTGAACTAAAAAATCAATAATAAACCAGCCGCAACTTATCTCATATACGTAGAATAGAAAAAAAAAACGTTTAATGTGCTGTTTGCGGCAAGTTTACAATCTATCTTTTGCCTGAAAATTGACCTATATATTTATACATTTGGAAGTAAATTTTGGGTAAAAGATAAGTTGTAAACCAGCCGCAACTAAAATCGTGGATATAAATTAAAAAGTTGACAACGCACGTGCTGTTAACGGCAGGTTAACAATTTATTTTTTACCCAAAATTTACTTCCAAAAGCATAAACATATAGGTCCATTTTCAGGTAAAAGATAGATTATAAACTTGCCGCAAATAGCACAAACAATGTTTATTTTCTATTTTGTGCAGACCAAATTAGTTGCGGCTGGTTTATTATTGATGAAATGGCTCTAAGCTCAAAGCTCGGGTTCAGAAGTTTAGGGCCGCTTTTTAGTTCAGAAATCCGCAACGCTAGACGGCGCTGATCCAAATAATTATTACAATTTACAGTAGAGCCATGTACTTAATTATAAACCAACCGCAACTAATCTCTTGGATAGACAATGAAAAGTTAAAATTTTTCGTGCTGTTTGCGGCAAGTAAACAGTCTATCTTTTACCCAAAAATTTACCTCCAAAAATATAAATATATAGGAGGTAGATTTTCGAGTAAAAGATAAATTGTAAACTTGCCGCAAATAGCACAGACAATGTCACCTTTATACTTTTCACATAATTCGTAGTCGAGACTCGAAAGCTGACCTTGAGAGTGCGTTTATGAGCAGTACTGGTCCAGAGTATGCTGCTCTCCTCAAAAGTCTCAAGATGGCGTTCCACGACAGTGAATTTATAGCATACATACTGTAATAGGGAAGAATGAAAAGAACACACTTTACATTACTGCACTGTTGTCAATTTATATTTCTTTGTAGAATTTTCTAAGTTAATTTATAGTATACTGAGGTTCGTTTATATGCAGTACCAAAGCTACTTTCATCCTTGCATCATTCAAATGCATCTTAAGTTCAGTACCAAAGTTGCTTTTCATCCCGGCATCTTAATAAATGTACTGTCACAGACTTTGCTTGGAGACTGCACTTTGAACAGCCAATCAGATGCATTTGAAAGAGTTCTTACTCTAATTCAATATGACTGCGCCCTATAATCCATCTCCCTTTTAAGATAGAAACAGCCAATCAGATGCATTTGTAAGAGTTCTTACTCTAATTCAATATGACTACGCCCTATAAACCATCTCCCTTTTAAGATAGGATTCAATATGACTGCGCCCTATAAGCCATCTCCCTTTTAAGATAGGAAATGTGCAGAGTGATGAAAAATGTAAACTTTTGGCATTATACTTAAGCCTATTGTGTAAGTATAGTTTTGAGATATTGCATCTCAAAAGTATTGACATTGCTTATATTTTCAATACTTAATATATACTTATGTGTTAAATAACTACATTAAGGATTAAAAGTATAAGCAATTTAAGTACTTTTGAGACACAAAATATCTCGTTTAATAAATAATTTACATATATGTACATAGATTGAATTGTTTTTCATTTATTAAACGATTGTCGTCATAATTTTTTTACTAAATCTAGCAGCTCCCTTACTCTGACAGATTAACTATTTCTGTCCCTCAATTTTATTGAGCTCACACATATATTTATTTATTGACTGGAAAAATACTTTAAGTTTGGTTATGTACACGGTTATTTAGCATACCTAAAGAGGACCAACTGTACAGGCCTACGCAGTCAAATTGACATAAGGTGCACAGTGCAGAGTGCACAAAAATAACATTGGTTGATATACCTATATACATAATGCACAACGCGTTGTGCTTTACGTTTTTACAGATATAAACATACCAACCAATGTTATTCTTGTGCACTGTGCACTGTGCACCTTATGTTAATTTGACTGCGTAGGCCTTACGCCGCGTTACTTTGCCTCGTCCGGTGTAAGATACCTATAGAGGTCTTCACGAACTAAGGAGGTATCCTCAACAGCGTTGGGTGAAGAGGATTCCCGCAGTAAAAATTACGGTCAGTAACATAAAAGTTACTGTCACTAACATACCAATCTATAGAGTGTTGGAGAAGCAAATAGGCAGAGAAGGAGGGGGCATTCCAGAGGTTCTCACCCGTGCTCCCAAATGGGACTGGCAAACATGTGAGAAATAACACAAGCGCCAATCCCCACACAACCCGGTGCGCTTACTGGCCGCTTTGTTTATTAATTAAATATATAAAATACCACAAGCGCCAATCCAAACACAAACCGGAGCGCTTACTGGTCCCTTTACTTTTTTAAAATAAATATAATGATAACACAAGCGCAAATCCCCACGCAACCCAGAGTGCTTTCTGGTCGCTGTAATAATTGATAAAATTTATTAAGTAACAACGCAAGTGCTTATTACCTGACTATCCAGGATACTCACTGGTCACCACTGGATGCGCTTGAGTGATTATTTAATGCTTTTTAATAATAATTAATGCTACAAGTAAGCGCCCCGGCTTATGTAGTGATTGTCGCTTGCCTTATTACTTAATTTATTGTAAAATAAGTATGCCACCAGTAAGCGCTCCAGGTTGAGTGATGATTGGCGCTTGTGGTATTTTATTTATTAAATTAATAAACAAAGCGGCCAGTAAGCACTCCATATTGTGTGGAGATTCACGCTTGTGTTATTCAATTTATTTTAAATAAATAAAGGGACCAGTAAGCGCTCTGGGTTGTGTGGGAATTGGCGCTTGTGTTAATTAATTTATTGTGAATCAATAAAGGGACCAATAAGCGCTCTGCGTTGTGTGAGGATTGGCGCTTGTCTAATTATTATATTCATCATAAATAAATGAAGTGACTAGTAAGCGCTCCAGGTGGTGTGGGGATTGGCGCTTGTGTTAATTAATTTATTGTGAATCAATAAAGGGACCAATAAGCGCTCTGCGTTGTGTGAGGATTGGCGCTTGTCTAATTATTATATTCATTATAAGTAAATAAAGTGACTAGTAAGCGCTCTGGGTTGTGTGGGGATTGGTGCTTGTGTTAATTAATTTATTGTAAATCAATAAAGGGACCAGTAAGCGCTCTGGGTTGTGTGGGGATTGGCGCTTGTCTAATCATTATATTCATTATAAATAAATAAAGGGACCAGTAAGCGCTCCGAGTTGTGTGGGGATTGGCGCTTGTCTAATCATTATATTCATTATAAATAAATAACGGGACCAGTAAGCGCTCTGGGTTGTATGGGGATTGGCGCTTGTATTATTTCTCACATGTTTGCCAGTCACATTTGGGAGCACTGGTGGGAACCTTTGGAATGCCCCCTCCTTCTATGCCTATTCGCTTCTCCAACACTCTATAGATTGGTTTGTTAGTGACAGTAACTTTTATGTTACCTATCGTAATTTTCACTGCGGGAATCTTCTTCACCCAACGCTGATAGCGAATAAATATTGTGCAATTGGCAATTTTTATATACCGATGTAATTTATCATATAAAGACTAAATCGCAAGAACATTGTGGATCTCCACGAATTATAAAGTTTCATAACGTTTGTGAAATTGGTGGCAGGCATTTATTTTTTGCCTCATCCGTACCCCAGCTGAGACTAAATCTTAAAAATGTAAAGTACATCTTTTATTATAAAAACTAAGTCCTTGTTGGTCTAAAATGCAACTTATTTTCTATGCGCCTATGTCAGGTGGCGCCGTTAAGTGAGAGAAATTGTCCCTCGCTGAGATCGCCAGAGTGCACGAAGCCTCGAAGGAAATTTTTTATTAAATTAAAAAAAATATTAGTAAAAGTGAATTGGCTAAATTA